GATTCACTCCCCAAGTGAGCGCAACGGGCCGATACTATGCCGATCCGAAGCCAGGAGCCTCTTCCGGGTCTCCCACGCGGGTGCAGGGTCCCAAAGCCTTGGGCCGTCCTCGACTGCCTTCCCGGGCCACGGGCAGGGAGCTGAAAGGGAAGCAGGGCTGCCGGGATTAGAACCGGCGCTCATATGGGATCCCGGGCGTGCAAGGCGAGGACCTTTAACCACTTGCGCCACCACGCCGGGCCCATAGCCTCCTGTATTCTAAATGACAGGAGTATTAATAATGTAATTTTGAGTGAAAACTCCTCAGAAAAGCTTTTGTTTAACAGCTGTGGCAGGAACTATTGTAGGCCCTGGGTGTACCGCAGGAAATAGAAGAGATGGTATCAGGTGGCACCGGTCATGTGTGGGCGCCTGCTCTGGGGCACGCCCCTTGCAGCCAGCAGCAGCTGCAGCATGGCGTACTGGCGTCCCCTGCTGTCGGCACCCTGGCTTCTCAGAAATTGAACATGTGAGGGGACAACGGGGAACAACCCTCCCACAATGGGTAAGAGGAAGGGCGTCCCATTGCTTGGCTACCCCAGGCCCTCCTCAGGCACCTACAGAACTGATGGCCCGGTCCTCCCGGCCCCGGTTCCTCTTACCAGAGACAATGTGAATGCTACTTACCCTGCAGGACCCCTCGCAGGGTCTCACAGTGGGGCAAGCTGCACTTCTTGTATCTCCTGGGAGTGTTGTGCAGAAAGTCAGGGGCGGAATGTGCTGGTTTTTGGTTGTGGGCCGTGTTTCCCATCCCTGGGGGGACGTCTCAGCCCTGCTGAGGGTATCGGGCCCACATTGCTGCCTTAGTTTGGGACAGACTTGCCCTGCACCTGGTGGCCATGCTCCGAGTCTCCCCCAGCAGGCACACTGCTGGGTGCACCCAGAGGGCTGCTCTGGGTGGCTGGTCGTGGTGCCTGCTTTGGGTTGGTGGCTGGATCTGCGTGGCGGAGGAGGTGACCAGGTGGCACGCACACACATGCTCACAGATGGCGCTGAGCATTTGCTTCGTGGTCTCTGGTGTGCTGGTGACTTCTAGCCATGCCTAGCGCTCGCCACACTTCCCCCGGCTCACACCGCCTGCTCCCCGCGTAGGCCTCGGGGTGGCTCTCTTCCCCTCTGCGCTGGCCACTCTACAGGATGGGCCTTGGACCCAGTGTGTACGTGGCCAAATTTAGGGTGCTGCAGGTGTTGAGGTCTGGGGGGCTGCGGGGTGTAGCTGCACGGAGCCCCGGGGCTTCTCATCTTGTTGAATCCTCAGCTGTACCTCTGGGGCGCTTCCAGAGGGCAGCCCGGTGATGGGCCTAAGGTGAGCCGTCGGGGCAGCTCAGGCCGGAGCCTGGCTGCACCAGACAGGTACAAGGGAGCGGGAGGGCTTGGGAGCACGGCTGCCGTGGCCCACGTGCTTTCAGGAGACAACTCTCGCACTGTGGGCTGTAGTGGCTAAAGCCAGCATCCCACATGGGTGCCCGTTTGCGTCCCAGCTGTTCCATTTCAGTCCAGCTCCCTGCTAGATGACAAGGGGAAAGCAACGAAGATGACCCCATGCTCGGGCTCCAGCCACCCATGTGCGAGACCTGGAGGAAGCTCCTGGCTCCTGGCTTTAGGTCTGACCCAGCCAGGGTCAACTATAGATGGGAGACCTCTTTCTTTCTGTCTGTATTTCTCTGTAACTCTAACTTTCAAATAAATAAATAATGTTTTTTTAAGGGCCAGCTCTGGTAGCTGTGGCTGGAGCCCTGAGGACTCCCCTCTTGCTGGGCCATGTGCTTGTGCCTGAGGGGAACTTAGAGGGAGCAGCTGTAGTTGGGCTGTGCGGTGCCTGTCAGGGAGCGCCAACCTGGGGTAGACGTGCCAGGAGGTGTGGCATCCAGGTGGGCAGGACCTGTAGGCGTGTGGCCCCAGGGGGTTCTGGGCAAGGCTGGCCCTTTGAAAAGGAGGTGTTCCCATCTGTCTCCGTGGAGTCCTGAGGCACTTGCTGCCGGCTGCAGCCTGCTTGGGGCGGGGGGCTTGGCGTGGCTTCCCCAGGAAGGGGCTGCTTGGGAGGTGAGATGTGAGCAGCCCTCTGCCTCTGTGGGGCAGGGTTCAGGGCTCTCCGGGAAGGCCCGAGGAAGTTTTGGTGAGGTGTGGGTGGCCTGGGGCGAGGAATCCCAGGCCAGCACTGTGGCTTTGTGGTTGGGGCTTGGCTGTGGCGACTGGCCAGTGTTCATCTGGGAGCTGCGTGGGGACTGGTGAGGCCTGTCCTTGACGCTGCCTGACAGCGAGATTTTCACTCCTGATGACAACTTTCTCCCTTGAACCACCCTTTTCCAGGCAGGCCAGGCAGCAGGGATCTGGCATTTTCCGGGGCACAGTGAGGTTACTAGGGGGGTCTCAAAGGATGCCCAGTTTTTATGACCTTATTTCAGTGTGATTTCAAACTTGCGGGAAAGTTGCCAAGAAACACAAGGAGCTGTATGTAGTTTTACCCAGGTTGACCAGCTGTTTACATTTGGTTATTTTTATTTTGTAATTTAATTTTAATTTATTTAGCTTTTTAAATTTTAATTAGTTTTTAACAAGTCAGTATAATTTGTACATATGATTCTAAGAGTATAATGATACGCTGTTCCTCCTTCCCTCTCCCTTTAGTCTTTGAGATAACGTTCTTTACGTGTATATTGCAGTAAAAGGGTTTAACACCCACGGAACTTAACAAGTAAACAAAGCAGGCTGAGCATGATAGCTTATCTGACTAATCTCCCACCTCTGAGCCCTGAGTCCGTAGGGGCTCTGGTTCAAGTCCCGCTGTTCCACTTCCCATCCAGCTCCCTGCTGTGGCCTGGGAAAGCAGTGGAGGATGGCCCAAACCCTGGGACCCTACACCTGCGTGGGAGACCCGGAAGAGGCTCTGGACTCCTGACTGGCATTGTGGCCACTTGGGGAGTGAATAGCAGATGGAAGATCTTCCTCTCTGTCTCCCCTCCTCTCTGTGAATCTGCCTTTCCAATAAAAATAAATATTGAAAAAATTAAAGAGCAAAAAGAGCACCCTAGTGGGCCCCATAAGCAGCTGTGAGCATGAGCTGACTGGAAAAGCACCGTCCCCTGCCTGCAGCGGGTCTTAACGGAGTCCGTATGTTGAGGTCGGGCAAGGGTAACTGTCTGAACCATCAGTTAGGTAAAGTACAGAACACAGTCTTATAAAACTATTTACAGCAATACTTTTACACTAGGCATTTCTTTCTCTTTCTTTTTTTAAGATGTATTTGTTTTTATTTGAAAGGCAGATTTACCGAAAGAAGGAGAGAGAGAAAAAGAGAGTTTCAATCTGCTGATTCACTCCCCAAGTGGCCGCAAAGGCCGTAGCTGAGCCGACCCAAAGCCAGGAGCCAGGAGCTTCTTCTGAGTCTCCCACGTGGTACAGGTCGTATGTGGGCAGTCCTCTGCTGCCTTCCCAGGTCACAGGAGGGAGCTGGATGGGAAGTGGAGCAGCTGAGAATCAAAGCGGCGCCCCTATGGGATGCCGGCACCACAGGCAGAGCCTTAGATCTGGTTGTGTCTCCTGGCTTCCATGTGACCCCGCTGGCCCTGGCTGTGAGGGGCATGCGGCGCTGAACTGGATGGGCAGTCTGTCTCACGTGTCTCTCTACCTTCCAAATGTCCAGAACATCAGGACGTGACGGTAATGCAGTGCCGTCCAGATCCAGTCCATACTGAGCGTCATGAGCTGCTGCCCAAGTCGCTGTGGCCAAGCCAGGACCCTGTGCGGCGTCCCTCCAGTCTGGCCACTCCAGTCTGGACCGCTTTAGTGGCCCGTGTTGAGTGTCGCACGGCCATGATCAGGGCTCAGGTCTTGCTCACCAGCTGCCCCTTTCAGATATGCCTGCTCATCCTTGTGGCGGAGGTGCCATGGACAGGCATCTTGGTCCTCCGCTCCTGTGCTGTGTAGCCAACACGGAGTGTGGGGAAGTTCTGCAGCCCCACGGGCCTGGGGTCCCAGCTCGTCCCCGCTCGTCCCGCTCCGTCCCAGCTCATCCCAGCTCCGTCCCCCCATGGGCCTGGGGTCCCAGCTTGGGCCCAGCTCGTCCCCGCTCCGTCCCCGCTCCGTCCCTGCTCCGTCCCGCTCCGTCCCCGCTCCGTCCCCGCTCCCCTTCTCGGAGCTCTGCCTCCATGGGAGTCAGGGTTCTGTTGGATTCTGCACTTTGTAACCCATTGTTCCCCTCACTTACATTAATTAGTTCTTTCCAGACTCAGCCAGTGGGGGCCCTTTCAGCCCCACTGCTGTCCCCAGGAGGTGTGTCTTCATGTTCTTTGTACTGGCTGGACTCTGCAAACCGTTTGTTTCTAATAAATGCGCCAGTGCAGTGCATTCTAGAACTCATTCTGTTCTACCAGGTGGGGGTATTTATGGTATGTTTGTGGTGGGGAGGGGTTGGTGATCTGTGACCTTGGGCTGTGTGGTTTTCTTTGATGCTCGCAGCTTGTTGGGCACAGGTAATACTGACCATGTAGGTGGTTGACACCAAGGTTTTTCCCAAGCACTGACTGTGCCCCTGGAGTTTCAATCTCTTCAACAACTTGTGGAAGCAGGGGACTCAAGCCTGCTTTGTTAAACATGAGCTGGGGAGGCTCAGAGAGGCTGGTCACCAGGCTCAGGTCACACAGCTGGTGACCAGGGACAGAGCTCCAGATCAGCTCAGTCTGGCTGAGATCTCCCCTTGCTGACCCACTGGTCAGGAACTGAACGTCTGAGCTCCACGCTGCAGGCTCCGTGCAGGTGATGTCGCTAACAAGTTTCTGGTTGAAGGTCTCTGCCGCTGCCCGTCCTTTGTCCGCATGAGAACCAAGGCCGAGGAACCAGCATGCGATCATCACCTTGCCCCACTGGCCAAAGCCTGTTTGCTTTTACTGCAGTGGCTCCGGGTCCTGGTGTTTCCGTAAAATCCAGACCCTAACTGTAAACCTCTTATTTTCTTCCTGTAGGAATTTACTTGCTAGAAAACACAGTGCAAGACTTGACAAACACAGTGACTTGGGATGGAAGTTATTTGGAAAAGTACCGCTCCGAGAGAATGCACAGAAAGAGTCAAAGAGAATACGAAAGGTACCCAGGCTGGGGAATGAGAACTCCGCTGTGTGTGCAGCTCATGTTCCAGAGCCTCGCCGAGACGCCCGCCGCTCACGCCTTGCCATAGAACGCCCTGTGCCCGCTGCATGCCGAGTCTATCCAGAAACGGGGGTGGTTTAGCCACTGTTGTTGCCTAGTTGGTCCCGCACACCCCAGAGTTCTGGCCGTACAGCCAGGCTCCAGCTGTTTAGGATTTGATTCCTTTGCATGTTGGAAGTCGGGGCTGCGGGTGTGTTACAGCCCAACTTGATGAATTGTTTGATAATGAAGCACTCTGTGTGGGCTGTTAGAGTAAGTACTTTGGGTGCTGCTCTGGGCCAGGAGGCCCTTCCCTCCGTGCTGCTGGGCTCCTAGGCCCCTCGGGAGGGAGGCTGAGATCTTCTGCTGTGGGTTCAGGGCCAGGCTAGGCCTGCGGCATTCCCATACGCCTCACCCCCGACAGCCTCGGAGCGAGGGACAGCAGCTGCAGGCATGTGCACAGCCGGCCCTCAGCGTGTGTCCTCCTGGGCCCGAGGGCCGGCCCTCAGCGTGTGTCCAGCGTGGGGCCATCTTGCTGGGCTGCTGGGGGCTGGTGTTTTCACAGGGCTCCCCACACCCTGGCCTTCTCCAGCTTTCTAGCTGCATCGGTGGTTGCTCCATACACACTGCGCAGGCCTGCCAGGCGCTCAGCAGCGGGCCTCGTGGCTGCCGCTGGAGTTGGAGGACATGTCCATACTGTGAGTGGCCCCAGTGCCAGCGCTGTGCACGTCTTGGCAGGGTGCACAGGCACCTGCACTTAGAAGAGCAGCAGGGCCGACTGGGAGTTCCACACTGAGGTATTGCTCTGTGCTGGTTGTCAGCCAGTTCCTGTGTCCAGTTGGTTGTGTGACCAGAGGCCCTGGAACAGACTGACTTGTGCAGGTCACACAGGTGGCCACGGCAGAGCTGCAGTCAGGGTGTGGCGGGAGGATGCACTGGGGATGGTGTGCAGCGTGGCCCAGGTCGCTGAGCCAGACGGCAGTGCAGGGAGGTTGGCGGATGCCCTGGGGAGCATGGCAGACTGCCTGGAGCTGAGGTCACTCGGCAGTCCCCGGCTGCTGGCCTCAACCAGGTGAGAAATGGGGTCTGGCCCAGGGCTGCATCCTCAGGTGGGGGTGGGGGCTGGGGCTGCAGCATGCTAATCCTTTTAGTACAGATCACAACAGCTGCTGACCTGCTGTGGGGCCAGGCTGACCTGCTGCTGTGGGGTCAGACTGACCTGTTGCTGTGGGGCCAGGCTGACCTGCTGTGGGGTCAGGCTGACCTGCTGTGGGGTCAGACTGACCTGTTGCTGTGGGGCCAGGCTGACCTGCTGTGGGGTCAGACTGACCTGCTGTGGGGCCAGGCTGACCTGCTGTGGGGCCAGGCTGACGTGCTGTGGGGCCAGGCTGACCCGCTGCTGTGGGGCAGGCTGACCTGCTGCTGTGGGGTCAGGCTGACCTGCTGTGGGGTCAGACTGACCTGCTGCTTTGGGGCTAGGCTGACCTGCTGTGGGGCCAGGCTGACCTGCTGCTGTGGGGTCAGACTGACCTGCTGCTGTGGGGCTAGGCTGACCTGCTGTGGGGCCAGGCTGACCCACTGCTGTGGGGCCAGGCTGACCTGCTGTGGGGCCAGGCTGACCTGCTGCTGGGTGGAGCTGAGGTGTGGAAACAAGTCTGGGGCACTGACCTTGGCCAAAATGGACTTGATGTTTGTTCTGTCTTCCACCGTCTGGTGTTGTCTGCACTCTGGAGACTAAGTCAGGTCTGAGTTGGAGTTGCTTCTGTACATGTTGCACTTTGAGCTGGAATTCCTTCTTGCACCTGCGAAGGCAGAATCACAGCTCAGCACGTTGGCGTGTGCAGGGTGGCATGCATCTCCCAGGGAAGGAACCGCCAGGCTGCTGCTGAGTTTTTGGAAACTGCTCTTAAGAAGCGATGACGAAGGCTGCTTTCCTCCAGCTCTTAGCATCAGCGGCGTCATGTTCACGTTGCTCTTTGTAGTCTCCTGCTTGCTCGGGCTGAGTGTGGGTTGTCGTTGACCCTGAAGGGGTTTCCCCCTGACTGACGTGACTAGGCCAATTACGTGTGACAGCACTGCCGAGTAGAGGTCATCTGGCTGCCTCCGTCATCACCGCTGTAACCGTGCCCACGGGGGCCACCCGAGCTGGCGGCTGGTGTGCTGCAGCACTGGCCCCGCATGGCTCTTCCCCTCCCGCCCCCTGCGCTGGCATGGCCCGCCTGGGCTCAAGGTTCTGGACCGCTGCGGTCCATGATGCTGACAGGGTAAATGAGCCGCTGGGAAGCTTCAGCTCCATGCCCTGTCCCTTTCTCTGGAGTTAGTTTTTAGCGTTTGTTCGGGAGACGGATGCAGAGCGACCCTCCTGCCCCTGGCACTGGTTCCCTCCCCAGGTGCCCCCAGTGGCCAGGCCTGGGCTGCAGATGACAGGAGCCTAGTTCCTGGAGGCTTGGCCACTGCTTTCTGGGCTCCACGGTGGTGGAGAGCTGGAGTCGGGGCTGGCAGTCAAATGCGGACACCTTGATTTGGGCATGGGCTTCTTCTCTGCTGGACTCGCCCCCGCTTTTACGATCACTGAGATGTGTGCATTTACGATTACTGCTCAAGAGAAAGCGGCCCTGCCTGGTGGTCTGAGGGCGTGGATTAGTCACGCTGCCTGCGCCCGACGCTGCTCTGCCAGTTGGCTGCATGGCTTTGGGCAAACAGCCTGGCCTCCTTTTTTTCTCATCTAGATAATGTGGCACATTGTGGGCCCTGCCTCCAGGGCGGTAAGGACTAAAGCAGCAGATCCATGTTGTGAGCCTGATGAATGCAGCGAGGGCTTGAATATGCTCGCTCTTTTTGTGGGCTCAGCTGCGTTTGTCCACCTTGCACAGCAGCAAGCGGGCATGAGAAGGAGGGCACAAGCCGGGGCCCATGGTGAGGGCAGGACCCTGGGCTGGGACGCAAGGAGCTGTGTCCAGCCAGGCCCTGGGCTGGGACGCAAGGAGCTGTGTCCAGCCAGGCCCTGGGCTGGGGTGCGAGGGCTGTGTCCAGGCCAGGCCCTGGGCTGGGGTGTGAGGGCTGTGTCCAGGCCAGGTCCTGGGCTGGGGTGTGAGGGCTGTGTCCAGGCCAGGACCTGGGCTGGGGTGCGAGGGCTGTGTCCAGGCCAGGCCCTGGGCTGAGGTGCGAGGGCTGTGTCCAGGCCAGGTCCTGGGCTGGGGCTGGGAGCACAGTTGCAATAGGTTCTTGTGGCCTCAGGCAGCCCATAGCGGGGCTCTGCATCATGAGAGCCTTGTACCTGCGGGCCTGGTCTGATTTCCGGCTGTATCTCTCCCTGTGGGTGTGATCTGGGGCCAGCTGTCCCTGCTCGCTCTCCTCTTCTGCTCGCTGGCTGTTCCTGAGGTCGCTGCCTGCAGAGCTGTGGGTGAGGAGGTGATATGTACGTTGTATTGCCTCCAGAATTGGTCATTGGGGAGAGCTCCCAGGACCCGAGTTGAGGGAGAGACCGACCTTCCATCCACTGACTGAGTTCCTTCATGGCTGTCACAGCCAGGCCTGAGCTAGGCCGAAGCCAGGAGCCAGGAGCTTCTTCCAGATCTCCCACATGGGTATAGGAGCCCAAGGACTCCAGCCGTCTTTTGCTCTTTCCCAGGCACATTAACAGGGAGCTAGATGGGAGATAGAGCAGCTGAAACTGGGACTGGTGCTCCTGTGGGGTGCTGCTGCTGTAGGGAACAGCTCGGCGTGCTGTACCGTGACGCCAACCCTGTACTGGTCCGCTTTCGGCTTTGGCCTCAGGAGACTTAACATTTTGAGGGAAATTTGAAATTTTATCCCAAATCTTTACTTATATAGTTTATTTGAAAGGCAGAGAGAGACACATACACAAGTATCTGCTGGTTCACTTTCCGAAATAGCACAGCAGCTTAGGCTGGGCCAGGTTGGAGCCAGAAGCCGGGAGCTCTGTGTGGGTTCCCCTGTTGGCAGGAGGGACTGGAGGTGCAGGGTGGCCAGGACCTGAACCCAAGGTTCTGAAGCCAGATCTCTTCTTAAATGTCCAAAGATTTTTTTTAAAGATTTATTTTATTTTTATTGCAAAGTCAGGTATACAGAGAGGAGGGGAAACAGAGAGGAAGATCTGTCCGATGATTCACTCCCCAAGTGAGCGCAACGGCTGGCGCTGTACCGATCCGAAGCCAGGAGCCAGCAACCTCCTCCAGGTCTCCCACGTGGGTGCAGGGTCCCAATGCTCTGGGCCATCCTCGACTGCTTTCCCAGGCCATAGGCAGGGAGCTGGATGGGAAGCAGGGCTGCCGTGGTTAGAACCAGCGCCCTTTTGCTCAAGGTGAGGACTTCAGCTCCTAGGCTACTGTGCCAGGCCCAATGTTGAAAGATTTATTTATCTATTTGAAAAGCAAAACTACAGAGAGAGAGAGAGAGAGAGCGAGATCTGCTGGGTCATTCTCCAAAAGGCTACAGTGGCTAGGACTGGGCCAGGCCTGAGCCAGGAGGCAGGGACGTCAGGGGCGGGCAGCATGCTGACCATTGCCTCTGCCTTCCCAGCATCCGGGAGTCCAGCTCGTAGGGGCTGCTGGCGTCTCAGGTGGCACTTTAACCTGCTGTGCCAAAGGCCTGCCCTGCTCTTCTCAGTTATTGTGTAGTGGAAATTGAGTCACCTTTTCTGTCTCTCATGTCATATTGCTGAGAGATTATCTTTATAGGGGACAACGTCACCAAAGCTGCAGCTCCCAACGTTGTGGCACCCACGCGACCCAGTGCGTTGTGGCACCCACACGACCCCCCAGTGCGTTGTGGCACCCACGTGACCCCCTAGTGCGTTGTGGCACCCACGCGACCCCCCAGTGCGTTGTGGCACCCACGCGACCCACCAGTGCGTTGTGGCACCCACACGACCCAGTGCGTTGGTACCTGGACTGTGAGGGGCACCGGCTTTCAGCCTTAGCCCTACTCCCCTGGCA